AAAAGTCGGACACTTCAAAAGTATCCCTTGCAGCACTTGTTGCATACTTCGCCGAATCCTCACACATGCCGAGGTGTAAATGAAAGTCAGATTTACGCAATTTGCCTTTGGACATTGCGTTGGACACTTGCCAGGGGTTTTTGAGGGGACTCTAAAGGGGGAATCCCGGGGACAGGGGATCGACCATCGTCAGGGGGTCTCTCATTTTTATGGGTAGCAGCGACATGCAAATTGTGTAGGTAACATTTTTGAGCGTGTTCTAATTTACAAGCGAGTGGAACCGAAAGGAGCCAAATTCGAAGCCAATCACGTCAGCGTTTGCCAAAGCGAAGGAAGCCGGCAGAAAGGTGGCCCCAAAATTTTGGGGGGGCCAAAAAAGGGGCGCCGATCGAGAGGGGTTCGCACAGGTTACGTGCTTGTAAATTCAAATTTGGCTGCGTTGTTGGCCAGCTTGGCTTGTTTTCGTGGTTCATTGAGCCGTGTTCCGTGCATAAATTAATGAAATATGAAAAGGAGCTGGCTCGCTTCGGTTTCCTTCGGACCGCACACAATGTCCAACATGGTTTATTAATTCAATTTGTGCCTAAATTAACGTGTAAGTGGTTAATATTGAGTTACTGCACTTACCGCGGTAACGTCAACCGACAGAAATCAAGGGAATCCATAAAAAAAGTAAATATTTTCGAAATTTCGCAGTTCGAAGTTTACAATACTCTTTGGAAAAGATATATCCCTTTATTGGTAGAGTTTATCCAAGTCATTTAAAGGATTATTTTGAGTTACTACCTAATATCAAGCTATCTATGCTATTCTACAATTTGTGTTGATAAATTTAATAAGATGTATTCTGTGTACAAATGTTAATTCAAGGAAGGCAAAAAAAAACAAATACCTTCTTCAAGAGTATAATCATACAAAGTATAAAAGATCAAGAGCAAGAGCAACAGGAGAGTTTCCTTTTTGCCTGTTGCGTGTGCCACTGCCATCGTTTTGGGCATTTGGGATTTGGCCACGATTTGGGTTTGGTTTTGCTGCAGACATGCGTTTTTGATATGAGCATTTAGATTATTGCCTTGGTGTGGCAATAAAATGAGCGGAAAACGATAGCCAGACACGGATTTGGATGCCTAATGTGGAGCACTTGAATTACGATTGCGTTTCTGATACACACTCGGTGTTTTGCATCTGGCTTTCGAAAACGTTTGTGTGGAATCGTATCGAAATCAATCAAATGGGATATTGACAGGTCGGTGCCGCTTAAGCCGTTGGTATTTTTTACCTTATCGCCGGGCCCATGTGTCGCCATATCTTTATGCCCATCTGGCGGCAATTTTCGTGCCTGAGTTAAGCACTCGCTTAACGCCCCCATAAGCCTTGACTAATTGGCAAGGAAATCGCTTTTCCGATAACCATTATAAAAGCCTTCAAATGACCAAGTATTTCTGATTTTTTTTCTCTATTTCGGTTTGCCTTTAGCCACGCAATTGCTGAAATTGTGACAAATTTAAAAACATTTTCCAATATTATTTATCGCGTGGTGTACGCATGTTGAATGCACAATTCACGCAGGCAGTTGCTGTTAACTTAGTTTGGGGGATTTGTTCGAAATCGTACGCGAAAATCGACAACAAGCATTTTGTCTAGCCTGCCATGTTCGATTTGGCCTCAACTTACTTTTTGGGCCAAGATTTATTCGTGGGGAAGCGAACTGCGAAGTGGGAGTTGTGGTTTCGGTCAATGGCAATAAGAAAAGGCGTATGCAAATTAAATTGATCAAATATGATTAACTATTAGATCAATTTTGATGGTTTGAAGTTTATTGGACTTGGATTCGACAAATTACTCAGGCTTTAAGACTTATATTTACTTCAATTTACATTTTTGACAAATGTTCAAGAATTATTCAAGAATAATCTCTGGAATTTATTGATCTCCTTAAAGCCTTATCTCTCGAAGCGTTTGTCAATTCTTGAAGTTAGCATATCCAACATTTTGGCAATCCCAGCCATTAGCCGCTATCACAACTGAGAGTCATGACTGGGCCATTAGACTATTAGACCATTAGCCACTTCTTTGGGCAACCCTGACATCTGCCAAGCCCCTGCGAAGTCAGTCTAGTTTAGCATTTGATTCATGGGGGACCACCACCCGCGCCAGTCCAATCAGCAAATCATTAACAACTAATTAAATTATATAAAAGAGCCATTAATTAAGCCTTAAACTCAAGGCGGCCGAGAATAGATTTGCCAGCGTTTCCCTTTCACTTTACAAGGAAACAGAATCCGATCAACAAGCGGCGAACAAATAATGACAAGAACTTTGCGCTAAACTTTTGCACTTTGACACCCAACTGTGAACTCGGCCCACTCCCGTACCCAATAAACCTTTTTTTTAGGCACGCTTTGTGCGGCGGCAGTTGTAAATATTTAATAACTACATTAATAACAGCAATGACAACGGCAGCAGCAGTAATAACAACAATAATAACACGCGCTGCAATTTGCCAGAGCAGCAATAAAAAAAACTACCGTTTTTGGCCACGTTTGCTCTCAAGTCAAAGTCGGGCCTGAAACTCTGACTCTGTGACTCGACCACATGGAATGAATGAATGTCATTAATTTGACAACAGAAACCGTTAAATCAGCAATTCAATCACCTGGTCAGAAGCGGATTTGCACACCGAGAAAAAAAACCAAGAAGTGCTCATCAAGCGGTTATTTTATAAACAGTTAAAGAGCAAGTGCGACCTTTCCCAAACATGCATATAATTTAGCAGTCATTTTTGTGGTGTGGCCATGGTTAAAAAGAACGGTGCTTATTTAGGACGTAATTGAAAGGAACTATCAAACCATTAGTCTCGCATTTAACTATAATTGTTATTATTTAATATTATGCTAAAAATGTAAGACCTGTGGTGTTTTTTTCTCCCTGCAACGGCAAGTGGTGCGACAAAGAAACGGTTCTCGCTTCGGTTTCTCGCGGGAATCTCTCTCTTTCTGTTTCTCGGACTCCTTTTATTTCGAGACGGCGTGAGTCTTAAATTACCAACCTTGCCACAATTTCAATGCGCATTCGCATTCGAATTTGTTTGCGGTAATTGGCCTCTGAGTTTGCCATTTTAGTGGCTCAAAAGGGGGTGGCGGTGCGGATCGGTGGGTGGTGAACTGGGGGTCGGGAGTCCAGCTGTTGGTGGTGGCTACTGAAACCGCCGCACCCACCAACGATCCGAACAAATCCAATAGCAAAAGCGGACCTGTGTACAGTGACTTGGGGGTGGCATAAAATGGTTCAGCAATTACCTTTTTGCCTTGCTTTTAATTGTTTTGCAGAGTATGCAGTGTGAATATTCTGCTAATGCATTTTATGAAACTATTATATTTAGTTTATTAGTTTAGTTTATAACACGAAACTCCATGAAGCCGTAAAGTTTTTACAGTTTGAATCTTAAAAAACTTTATTATCATATAGGATAACTGGACTAGTAATTCGGCTTACAGATTGCTTACAACACATCCCATACATATATCTTACTTTATTACACAATCAAAAAAAAAAAACCTTCTTATAAATATAAATATGTATATCTTCCCAGGCGGTGTGATTAAAAAATGGTTTCTTTTTAATCGTAACCTAAAGGTTTTGACTATACCAATGGAAATTCCAGTTTAAGGATCATAAAATATTACCTCGGGTTATTGTTCAAATCCTGGTTTATGTGAAATCTCGTCAGGTGGGTTAAATGTTTTAATTAAAGCTTTGACCACTGTGCGAGGGAGTTCGCCTTTTGCCTTTCAACTTTTGTGACTGCTGCTACAGGTGTCTCCAGTCTCCGATCTCCGGGTTGGCGTTCTCCTCTATTCTCCCCCGTGTCAATGACAGTTCAATGTGCCTGGTTGATGGTTGTTTCTGCCGTCGTTGTTGCCGGTCTGGCAACAGTTGTCGCACATGCAAATCGTGACTGTTGTCCATCACAGTTCTCCGGCGTTCCAGAGCCTCGGCGGAGTTGCCAAACTTGCCAGTCAGTCAGTTTGTCAGTCAGTCAGCCAGTCAGTCGTCGGCTCTGTAATTTTTTGTCGCTGCTCTGTTGATTTTTTTGGTAGTTGCACATGCGGCCCGAGTGATTTGTTTAAGACGTTTTGATTGATTATTGGTGCGCATGCGCCAAAGCGACGACAAAACTGCCGAAACCGTGTAAGGAAATTTTTAAAATATTTTTGTAATGACCAATAAAGCTTTTTTTAAATATTTAAACTTTCTCGAAAAATCTTTCACCTTTTTATTTGAAAAGGATTATAATTTTTTTGGTTGAATAAGATAAGTTTAAATACTTTTTAAAGGACTTTTTATGATAAACACCTTTTAAGAACTGATCTCATTTCTTTGTTGCCACATCTTTGTTTTGGCTCAGTCATGCGCCAAAAAAGAGCCGCTTTTATTAATTATTCTGACCCAGAAATCGTTCAAATCGCGGAGTATCGGAAATCTGAGAACAGAAACCGAAACCAGAAACGCGAACAACGAAGGTGTATGAGTTTTTGTTTTTTAGCTCGGCGCGCGTTTGTTGTCAGTTTGAGTTTGAAATATTTACCACCTGTGATGAATAACGTTACATTTGCGTTGATTGTTTTTTATCCGTGATTTATCGAGAAGTTCGAGTACCAGCACCTCCGCCGATGGCCATGCCCACATAATGCTGATTACTCAGGTGTCTGGGGTGCGTGTCGGGCTTGTTTTTTTTTTCTCTGATTTTCTGATTTTCGAATCTCCTCCTCCTCGAGGCCCGTGTACCGTTAATTAATTTGCAAGTCTCTGCCTCGTCGACGTTTTTTTGGTGTTGTCTCTGTTTTTGGTTTCATTATGTGTGTGTTTTAGCCGGAATTTGTAGTGCAAAGTGCACACCGGGTGGCATTCGTCAGGCGATTGGATGTGTGGCAATGGGTTTATGCGGGTCACAGATTGCGCGAAGAAGATATCAAGACAACATTTGAAGTCAGAAAAAATAACATTTTAAATTAGATTTTATAATTTTGTAAAACAATAAATAAAACCACTTCATTATCATAAAACATTTAAAGTCAGCTTGTAATATAATTTTGCAGGGATTTTCGTTACTTTTTTGGCTTGTTGGCCAATCGGAACTTGGATATGATTGGGGTGGCTCCATTGGACATATTCGGGGTAATCATCGTGGCTCTGGAAGTGGGTGGTGCCCTTGGAATGTTTGAGGGAGCAGGTGAAGGCAGCCCTGGTTCATTTTCGGTTTTAGCCCTTGGTTTCGGCTTATTCGTTTTTAAAGGTTGGAATTTTTGCTTTTGTGGTTTTCTTTTAATTCCCGGATTCTGGCGAGTTGATATATTTCGAACTCCTTGGGCCAAAGAGTCCTTCAGCAAGGATGCCGTTGGAACTGCTGGTGAAGCTGATGGCAAATGGGTGGAATTGACTGTCATTCCATGCGCACTAATGGATCGACTAAGAGCTTCTGCTTCCTGATTTGTCTCATGTTCACCCTGCCGCATCAAATTGTTGATCCTTTCCCGCTGCAAGCGTTCCTGAACCATTCGATTCCGTTGGGTGGAACGGATAAGTTCGAATTCCTGCCAGAAGTTGAAACTGATTTCCGCCGAGTTGCGGGTAATTTCAGAACGCATCTCCTGGGCCAAATTTCTGTCCCGCGGAATTTCATCCCTGTTAAATATACGCGACATTGCAATCTTGGTTTCCCAGTAATCGAAATCCTTTGCTAGAATTTGGAGTGAAGTATTCTACTTGAAGGAAATATCCTGGTTGAATTTGATGTGAAAATTATTGAATAGGAAAAGGTAAATAAATTTATATTTTTATTAAAGAATATATTTTTATAATTATTTAAACCTATATTCATCACTTGTAAATTCAAAAAAAATATTGAAAAATATTTGTGAAATATTACATTCTAATATCACAATGGCAGAAAAATTTGTCTAATGGCTTTTTGGGACTTCGGACATTATCCGGGCTGCCCGGCACCACACTCACTTGTCTGCAGGTTGAAATGCCGTCTTGGACAAACAAACAAAACACGGCACTCGAACATGACGTTCGTTGTCGGGAGGCGATTTTGATCGATGTGCGTTTTCTAATTGCTGCCAACTTTCTTCTTAATTGTGGCAAGAAAAATGAGGCCCGTATCGAAATGGCATGAAAAGCACAACGAAAACAACAACAACAACAACAAGAAAGACGATGCCAGGTGGGGGAGAAATTGTCTGCATAAAAAGAATATTATTTGGCTTTGGGTTCTTCGGCAGTTCCCCCGCGTTTCCCTCGATCAATCATGTGTACGATAGAAGCTCGAAAACTTGGCCCAATTGTTAAGGCAAACAATAAGGCGATCCGATCGGTTTGGCCAACTCCATTTAGTTTACAATGAAAACAAAATTGCAGGCTTTCGGCCGGGTGATCGTATATTTTCTGCATTTTTTTTTTGGGCGTAGGATATCGGTGATCTTTCTGGATCCCCGCTGTGCACTTGTCGAAGCCAAGAGTTCAATGCGCGGCTACCAACTCACAATTTATCCTTTATGGCTTTTGTTTCTGCAGAAGTGAAAACAAAAGATTGTCATCGGCGGGAAAGGGACAACGAGTGCGATCGACGGCCATTTGGTACTTTGCATATTTGCAGGCCGTGCTCATATTCGCACTCTAATTGGGTGAAAGTGCCCTCCTCGGCTTAGAAAGTGTGACAGCCGGTGTGCTCTCCCATCATCGCCATCATCATCAGCTGGCCAAGTTGAAGGAGAAGTCGAAGTGGAAGTCAGAGTCGTCGCTCAGAGGCTGTCAAATCAATATCTACGGCTATAGCTTATACCTGTGGCTGCGGCTATATAACATACATCACCCGCATATATAGGCATCGCCAGCAATCAGGCGGACAACAAAAGCCGGGGCCGGCTCAGAAATATTCCCAGGCCAGGAAAACTAGAACTCAAAATCATACATCACAAGCAATTACCGGCTAAAATGCGCCAGAGTAAGCCCCCTACGACCGATAGTTGCAGCAACTTGCCAGCAAGCCTGCGACTAACCTTGGTCGCTAGTTAAAGTCCGCAAAAAAAAAAATCGAATAGTGGGCAGCTATTATTACTGTTGTGAATACCCTTAGAATCGGCGGAGTACGAAGGTTATTTGTTGGAGGTTCTTAGCTATAATTGAATTTTAAGTATTAAATATTTTTAAATGCTTATTATTTTTTTAATATAAGTATTAGCGACCTATAAAAATAAAAAAAAATTGTATTTTGAAGAGGAAATTTTCAATCAATATGTTTATATTTATGTTTATACATTGCCTTTTACTTTAACAAAAGTTATATTTTTTTAATTCGTTACTTCAAACACCTTGGATCTAAATTGGTTTTCTAAGCCACAATTATTTAAATTTTAAGTTAATTTTTTCTTAGAAATTTTTAAAAAAACATTAAAACTTCTACAAAAATGTGTAAATATGGTCAAAAATAATAGTTACAAAACGTACCAATATTTTTTGGCATTTAAAAAAATTCTTAGAGAGCATTCCCTATTTTGTATCCAAAGTTAGGGTTCCGCTTGGTGCACCTCACCCTTCGCTCGTTGGAGCTGCCGGCTGTTGTTGTGTATGCTGGGCATGCATCATCATACCATCATCCCATTTTCACATACCACAGGCCGAGCCAAGGCAAGTCGGTCCAGGTGAGTCCAGAGCAGGCCACGCGGATTGGAGGATTGGGTTGGATTGGACTCCTCCTTGGCTTTGACCGACTGAGGCGGCACTTGAATGCCTGGCATGAAATAAATCGCGTGTTTATTGTGCCAGCGGCGATGGCAGCGCTCTCGACGATCGCTTCAATGTTGCACATGGAAAATTGAACGCAATAGAATGCCACTAATCGATCGGGCCGAAGAACTGGATGCTGTGGATAGTGGATGGTGGATGCCCCCAGCTAAAAACAGCTTACAAAAAACAAAAAAAAAAGGAAAATGAAATGTTTTCAAGTTCAAATGCAAGGTGCGGACTGAAGTGAAGTGAAGTGAAGGAGTGCCAAGTTGCTTGGCGGTTGCCGGAGCGACTGGCGCAAGCAATCTCGAAATAATCTAAACGATTTGGCGAAAATCACGTCGAGCATCGTCGGCATCGGCATCCACCTGTTACGTCGAGCTCATTTTTAATGCCCCCAAAACGAAGGAGCTTCGAGTTTCGAGCCCGAAAGGAGGCAAACGGCAAACGGCCGGCCGGCATCGAGAGCAAATTGCAAAAGCCAAATTCAACGAATGCCGGCGCACAGTTTGGCATAATAATGAAGGCGCAATCAACTGAACGGCTGGCCAGCGGCTTGTGTTCTGCTGCTGCTGATCCTCCGGAATCAGCTAAAAACTCCTTACACATGGAGAAAAGTGGGCCAGGGATTGTAAGAAAATATGATCGCTATTTTAAATATTTTCTGCATTGCTGGGAACTCTTTTGATAACACCAAAAAATGTTGAGACTTTTGTAAAAGAGAAAAATATGGAGTATGGGAAAGGGGATACTTTTACTAATTTAAATATATTTATCAAAAATTTGGATGAAGTTTCATTAAACTCTCATCTCTTTTATTTTATTTGAGAAAACCAATTCTACTTTCAACAATTTCTTAAAGTGCAGACGAGAATGTTTAAGATGCGGCCAGGTGAGGGTGCATTGCACAGATTAAACATTATTTCTGTTTTCTTCATTTTGGGTTTATCTACCAATACAATGCATAATTTCTCGCTGCTGGCGTGGACTTGGGATTCCCGAGTCTTTGGCTGTGGGTCCCGGCTGGTCGTGGTGTTATTCTAAACGGCTTTTAGACAAAAGCATCAGCCGGGTTGCCCAAGTTCACCTCACGCTGCCAATCAATCAATCACGGCCAAGAAGCCTAGTCATCTGAGCATCTGCCGACTCTCCACTCTTTGAGCCTGGTCAAGTGTAATGGTTTTGTCATGATGCAGCATTTAAGCTGCCGCCGTTGATTGATGCGGCAAGAAGTGGCCACAAGAGTGGCGAGTTAGGAATTTCACACCATCGGATCACCTCGACTGCGAGTAGATCTATGGAAATTTTATGCCGTACACTTGTCAGTCATTTCTCTTTCCGTTAGTTGCTTTGCCGAGACGAATTGTGATTTCCAATGGAAATTCAAAGAGATTTTCTACGATCTAAGTGGAGCCAAAACTAGGAAAATCCCACAAATAAATTCTACTATAGTTACCTAATAATTAATAGATCATTTAATAGAGCATCTATAGCAGGTAAAATATCATATTGAAAACAACTCTCAAGATATATCAGCTTAACGTATTTCCATTAAAACGATTTACACATTGAATCAGCTGGGGATAAAAAACCTCTTAAGCGCAAAAATTAGTTCAACTTTTTCTTTCAATTCCTATCAGAGTTTCGTTAGCCAAGACACTAAAACGATTTATATTCGTAATTAATGATTGATTCGCTTTTGATTTGCAAGCAATTTTCGAATGAGGAATAGAGCATAAAACACTGGCCGTTAAATCCCAATGCCACCTGCAAGGCGGCGTCGTCGGCATATCAAATCAGCAAAATCAAAACAAAATTAATTGACGACAATTGTGCCGAACGAGCAAAATGTGTGGCAACCACCAAAAACTGCGGCAACCAGAGAAAAACAGTAATTATAGCAACAACGACTGCAACATCGACAGACGTCAATTGTCTAATCAACAAATTTAGTCAATAAATCGTAATTAATTAACGTTCGATTGGCAGGCTAAAAGAGTTTTCAATTTTTGCATTCGAATCGAAAAAGTCGAAAAATTCAAATTCAAATTTGAAAAGGAACACAAAGCCGATACAAAAACAAAAAAAAAAAAAATAATAAAAAAAATCAAGCACAAAGCCAAATCCATATTCGTGCATTGCGACTAATTTTTATTGCCGGCAAAAATTGGCAACAGCTAATCAGTGAAGCATACGCCCCACGAGACCAAAAACCCAGAGCCAGAAAAAAATAAGGGGTGTGGCTGGCAGGTGGCCATGTTGTTGGCTATTTGATAACATCGTTGCAATGTGTTTATTGTCCAAAAAGTGACTACACAATCCGACAAAAATCGAGCACAAAATCAGAGCAACCTTTTTTTCGCCTCTCACAGTTGCAATCGAAAGACTTAGACAACGAACTTGGCTGCAGACGAAAGACTTAGGCAACGAACTTGGACTTTATTTGGCTTTTAGTTATTTTATTGATTCGATTTGAACTTTTGTATTTCACGTGTAAATTGATAATATTGAAAATCTTGAAAATCTTAAGTTTGCTTATGAAATTTAAGGAATATTTTCTTTTAGAAATTTATTGAAAGAGGAATAACTATTTTAAGTTTTTTTTGGTAAACGTCTGAAAGCATTTCCTCTTTTCAAGTTTATAAGAGGAATTTCCGTTGCCATGCAAAGTCTCCCACCGTAATCACATTTTTTTTGCGGTTGCCTTGACTCTCTTATATCATAGCTACAATTATTTGGTAAGAACTTTTAATTAATAACACTTAATGCTCATGATAGATGCCCGACGGACTTATAACTCACTCGCCTCGCATTTCGGGCTGATCAGCTAGATCAAAAGAGCCTCCTGCTTGAAAAACCGCAGCCCGCAACCATTTTTGGCAGTTAATCAAATTAATTGCTTAGAAAATCAACATGTTGGTTTCGGCCGAAAGCCGTCGAATCAACAGATTCGGTAACAATGACAAATAACGAATTATG